GATGTGAACTTCAAAAATAACATACAATATTTGCATGTAAATACATGCATTGTAATTAAACATCAATTTTAGTTAGATCGAAATTGTGGAACTTCTTCAGAGTGTACTTTCTTGCAATAGTAATGAATAGTGAGGAATTTTTATTGTTCTATATGATACACAGTGAAGGAAGTGAATGATAGATTATTTTTTTTTATAAATATGAATATAAATATTTGGAGCGGTTTTGACCAGTAATATTTTACTCAAAGGGCTTATCTTATGAACTATTACATTGACATAGTCTCTAGATTATCAGTTTTGCAATTGACAATAATGACCATGTATAAAAATGATTTTTTCTCTACGAATTGAAAATCTTATCAATTCACTGGTGTAAAATTCCATAAAATATTTATATATTTCCATATTCACATTTTGAGGCAATACATTCGCAGAATGCTGATTTTGTTGAAATGGTAATACACTACAATCCATATTTGACATAGCATGACCATTGCATAGAAATTTCTTTATGGTAAAATTCTTATATAAATAGTTATGAGCATTAAAAGTTATCTCATTGCATCGCCATTCTCATATTTTAATTCAAAATGCTGCATTAGGTCGCTACATTTCATAGGAAATATATTTCTTTTTGTGACAATAGTTTTTCTGGAAAAATTATTTTGGAGATGGATGTTGATATCTAAAAGCTAGATTCAGGGTGTGCATCTGACTTTTAATTGTCCGTTTATATGGTTTAAGTTTGACTATATCAACATTCTACAAAGTTTCTTTTCAGATAATTAGTTCATGTGTCACAATATTTTCAACACTATACATCATGTCAAGGTTCTGGACATGATTCCATCATGTATCTAGTAAACGAATTTCTGATCTAAATATCATCCTTTAACAAAATGATGATTTGTTTTGATCTATTATTATTCGATTATGTTGTAATTCATTCCCATTACTACTATTTATTTTCATAAACTTTTCATTATTATTAGCATAAAGAATTCAAGACTTGCACCCCATGTCGCACTTCAATAGAACGAGTGCATAACATTGTGGGAGACACCGAAAGGCAGGTTAGATTGCCATATTATAAAAAAAATATAATAAATTTAGTTATAATGAAGTTATCTGAACATAGTTGTAATTTCGTGTCATAGATTATGATAGTCAAGATTCTTCATGGAGTTTGTGAAGTAACAGAAACCTATGTCAATGAGGTGAGCCTATCTTTATCATTATTATATACATACTAAGTATTTCCATTAATTTCGTGCAAAGTTTTGACTAAGATTGGTTTTTCAGTGTAAACGGATGATTTTCATATATGGGCCACTTCTTCTTGGTAATGTTCAAAAGGTCTTGAGTGACAATGACGTGTGTTACTTAATGAGCATGTGCAAGGATCCTCTACCACAACCAAGTCCACCTCCACCTGAAGATGGAAAATATGCCACTGTGTATAGTGGAATATGAAGAAGCAACTAGTTGTTAGCTTCTTATATTGTCTAGTGACAGAAGAGCATAAGTGTTCATAGCTTTAGCATCATCTTCATGCTTTTGTAATAATCTCAATACAAGAAGAACAAAGCTATATGGATTTTAGTGATGCCAATTCATAAATCAACTCAAAATTATCTCAAAAATGTATTAGACTTGCAATTTCTCTTCAGAAATAATTTACTTTTCTTTTCTAGTTATTTTTTGATACATAACAATGCACCTTTTAGCCTTAGCCTAGGTTAACCCTATTTTTCACTAGTTTTCGCGTGATAAACAGTTCGCTAAAAAAAGAGATCGAGGCTAGGTTTGGAGCTTTGACAGTGTTTATACTAAAATAGAGAATCCGTTTATTCGCCCATGTGACTACCTTGCTCTCTCTCTCTCTCTCTCTCTGATTTTTTTTCTTACTCGAATATGTGGAATGCCAGGCAAGGAATCTCAAGGATCAGTCTAGGCTGGAGCACATTTCTTCTCCACTTTCGTGTTAAGTAGGGATCTATATCATTTATCGTGGCGAACATTTTGATAACATTTCGTTATGTTTGAGACAAAAGTTAGCGCAGAGAAAATGAATGAAAGTTTAGATTACAAAGGGGATTTTAAGTCCCTTAATTTTTTAATCTAGACATTGTTTACATTTCTAAAACTTGCGCTGTGACAATCATGGCTAATGTTCTTTCTGCTTTTCTATCATTTATTTTCGCTACATAACTCGCAATCAATTTTTGAGCCTCATGGTCGTTCTCTTCTCCTCATTATGACGTCGAGTTAATCACACTGACCTGTAAATATAGATTCTAGTTGCATAGAAGTTTACTTTGAATGATGGTCCAGAAAGAGAATATGCCAAAATATCTCCATTGAAGCTAAAGAGGGGCTGGCAGAGATGATGGTAGAGTTCACAAGAGACTAAGAGAAATAGAACACTGAAGACAAGGAACGGTATGATATGATAGTTGTGCCTGAGAGTGAGACGGGGTTTACGGAACCCTTCTGTAGCGAGTCGTGGTAACAAGAGGAGATTTATCTCTCTAATCTTCTAATATCATGAAGTCATTAGAAGTTGTCAAAAACCTAACCTCAATACTTTGTGAAGAAGTTACGGATGTCTGCAATATTTTAAAGGTGCTGATCACAATTCTGTATTGAGTTATTTATCCACATAAATTTTCTTGGAAATTTTTCATACAAGTGAGATCTATCACCATAAAAGTGATATTTATCACTTTTCTCAGTTCAAACATACATCCAAGCATTTGGTTTTGAATTTTTTTTCTTGATTTCTTCCCGGACTGTCTTTCAATGTAGCATATTGTAGGATTTTTATCATAAGGTAATCAACCAAATGAGTTCTTAAATCTGGGACTATTTATGAATAATGAAAATAGTGAATACAAGAGCTGCAAATCTCACAACATTGAGTTATTTGTATCTTATGAAATTGTTTAAATTTCTAAATAGGTTTATTTAAAAGGTCAAGGAAGTTCATGTCGAAAGAACAAATAGAAAAAAAAATCAAGAAGTTTATGGACCTAAATATTAGGTTTAGAGAACTCTTTGGTCAATCATCTGATATTCACCCTTTTTATGGGTTCTTAGGACAATTTTAATCTAGAGCCTACTGAACGTTTAATCAGTTTTGGAGATTTAAGTTCTTAAAATCGTAAGAAAAATATAAATAATTATTCAATTACACCATATCCATTGATGGAAATCCTGAACGGATCCATAGTGCCCTTGGTATTATAGTTTATGACCACTATATGAGCATTTAACTAAATGTTAATCAATAATAAGTGGTTAGTAGAATCCTTTGACGTACAACTTGAATTTATGCAAGGAAATCTGGTATTTAAGATTATTTGTGAAACTAATTTTAGTAGAATACTATTTTTTAAAATTTTACACTTGTAAATTCGTAAATATTTTAAATTGTGAGCACATGGAGTTCAACCTATCATTATTTCATTTGAAATCTTGGATGCCTATTTCATAATTTAGTCAGAATGCTGAGGGTTGATTAGTGTGGCTTTATAATCAATGGATAGCACCTTGATATTCTATATTAAAATACTTTACTGAATATAGCTTTACTATTTATGCTGAAGGCTATTATGCCACATTGTATGTACCGTGGATTGATTGTGAGGAGATTAGTGCTTCAATATAGTATTAAAGATAAGACTTACCTTTATAAATGATGTATATGTGTACCTAGACTAATCCAAATGAGAATTTAAGTTACTAGGAAAATATTTCTTTCCATACAGATTGTTTGTTGAGAAAGTGAAATCTCTTATTAATCACGTGTCGTACATATATTATTGAACAATTTTTTGCAAACATAATTAAATATTAAAAAAAAGGTGCGATGGAATCAAAATTATACATGTAAGAGATTGACTTAGACGTTTTTGGTTTCTACTTGTGTCGCCCTAGAATTTTTTTCTTTCCAAAGCTTGAGTTTCAAATTAGACAGAAATGTATCCTTGAAATAAAATATAAAACTGGAACAGCGTGAATCACAACCCTGAAGTTACATTGCTGGGAAGACAAAATGAAAATCGAAAAACAACACTAATGAGTTTTGTCTAACACTCAATTTTTTTTTTCTCTTCCTCCCTACAAGCTCATTTGCAATGACCACTGTGGTTGGACAAAAACTAAGCAAAGGTACCCTTGGAGATTCTAGAAAATTTCTCCAACCTATAAATAACTTCACTCGAAGATGATTAAAATGCAGCAGGGATTAATCGAGTGAATCGTCCAAAAAGTAGCCGAAAATCAGTCAAATAACCAGAATAGCAGTTATTTATGATACCGTATATACCATGTGATTCACGATGTGTTCATTCATTTTAAATTGATGAGAATACCCCAGCTTCATCATAAGAAGTTTATTTAAATTCACGTTAGATGCAAGGGTACCTTCTGAATTTTGATTCCACCAAAGATCGTCTTGCCGTCAGTCCGAGTTTTCGAGTGAAACTGCAAACTTTTGACAGACGATAACTCCAGTGTCCTTCGAGAAATATCAAGTCAAAAGTTCCCTTCGAATCCGCATCTTACCAACGATTCCGGTGTGCTTCTCCTTCTTTATTTCGAGATTCTAAGGACGACATGGGGGTCCCCGTGATGTCGCCGGGGAGGCTTCCAGAAATTCTCTTCGGATTGCCACCTGTAGAAACAGACACGACTCACCCTGTAATCGACTGTAAAGGACGCTCTTTGTGTGATCGAAGTTTCCTCAAGCGCCGGAATGGATTTGCTCCCGTCGAAATTCTCTCTCGCTCTATAAATATTTATATCTTATACAGTCCAGCACTCCCTCAGGAAACAGGCAACGAGGCCGCCCGTTCTCCTCCTGTGCTTCCTCTGCTCTGGTGATGAGCTTACCATAACCTATCTAATTCCTGATTCCTCGTCGATTGGGCTGACACGTGACATGGATGATCAATTTTGTCATGTTTTCAGGTTTGTGTTTGGTGATTGTGGAAATGAAGAGTTCTTGGAGTGTGAAGATCATGGTTGCACCTTTCGTTGCCGGAATGTTGTTTCTGGTTGCCTCTGCAGGTTCTGCTAAGGATTCATTCGCCCCCATTGCCGGTCATGCAGGAAGTAAGCGTGGGGGAGACCCTTCATTTTCCCCTTTACCGGAGTTCTTCATACGCGACATAAGTTTTGCTTTTTTCATTATTCCTAGCTTTCATTTATTAAGGATACAAATGGAAGGAACCGGCTACGACATTTAACATCTGAAAGAATACTGTGAAAATGTGAACTTGGATGGCTCGGAGTGGATAAAACTGCTCATTTTGAAGTTTTCATTGTTGTATGACTATTAGCATGTCCCTGCGCAGGAAGTAATCCTCTCGATGATCCTCTCACTCTTGACGAACTAGCAAAGTTTTTTGCCCGAGAGGATCCCGATCCTTCTCCGAATGGTTACCCAGAAAACTACTGCCATTCATGCCTAGAGATCTCAAGAAAAGCTGAGAAAATATTGAGCGATCCTGGTCTGCTGAAAGAAATTGATTACGTTGTTAGCACAGTTTGCGAGCTTGTGCCTTCCGGTTTCCAAGCAAAGGTATTAGTTTTATTCTAAATGGCGTGAGAAATATTCGAGATTTATTAAATCAGATGTCCTTCAACGTCTGCTTCAACCTTTCCAGTGTGCAAAGATGGTGGAGATGTACAAAACTGACGCCATCATGTTTCTCCAAGATGCATTCCTTGAGCAGAATTTCTGCAACAATACGGGGATCTGCTCTAATCTGGCTCAAAGGACTTCTCTCTCTTCTTACAGAAGGACCAAGTTGCTCTCTGCCATGGAGCCCTTCGCAAAAACGTTGAGTAAGTTACACAAGGCCATAAATGTGGAAGCATTACACAGAATTATCAGCGATGGATATGGCCTAGCGGAAAACGGAAGGCCTCTCGAGGTATCTACTTTAACGCATCCTCAAGTCAATCATTTTCAAAAAAAATTTAAATCATTCATCAATTGCCACTGAAGTAATATTTGGGTTATAAGGAAAATACATAAGATGAGTTTCATAAGTTAGCCGTGGATCACATATTAGATGAAGACAATAGGGATCCTCCGACCATAATTCACTGTTGTAAAAGGAATTTTTCATATTTTTTGCGTTTGGCATTATCATCACCAATAACAACGAGAATATGATTTAAATTGGTTTCAAAATATTATGTACGCTACATTTATATAAATACCAGATGCCTTAGATTAAGTTGTCCCTCTTGAAACCAGATCTTCTCCTGGCCCGGAATATCATGCAGGAAAAGTTGAAGTGGTTTTGAAATTGTGTATGATCTTCCGGTAAAAGCTGTTTTGTTTTCGTTATAATCTGCAGTCGAATGCGACCTGCACTGCCTGCCTCAGTATTTTAGGGAAGATTCGTAGTGAGCTGGAGGACCCCGACAAACAGGTACTATTGATCCTAAATTGTCCATGTTAATCTCTACAGCTTTTTAAACGCTCTATACCCTTTTATTTACAGCTGAAGATTATCACGTCTCTTCTCAAAGCCTGTGAAGCCGAAGTGTTCGTCTACAAGGTAAAGTCCCTCTTTCCCTCCCTCATTCACAATGCACAACCCAACTGAACTTGAAACGACGACCTCTCTCTTATTTTAAAGTAGACGAACAGAGAAAGAGCGAGGAAGAGAGAGAGAGAGAGTGAGAGTGGATAGAGAGAATACGTCTACGGTTTATCTTAAGATGACAGCATTTTTTTGCAGTGCAAGAAACTGATCTTCGCTTACGGCCCCATCGTGATAACAAATATCCAGAAGGTTGCGAGCATGGATTTGTGCCACATGGTGCAGATCTGTAGGAACCCCATGAACAAGACCGTCCATTGGAGCGTGGCGGACTCTCAGCCACACATCAAGATCGCGCCTGCCCGCTTGGACGCGATGTGAATCATACGTAATATTTCTTTTCCATACGAGTAACTTCGCACGTTAGTGGCTCCGTTTGTGCTATTGTCTTCAATAAGATGACGCCGATCCCCCCTACCGCTGCTGTATCCCTTCCAGAGCGGGGTTTATGAAGGCAGAATGTTGGGAATTTATGATAGCCGATCGCAGAATTAGTTTGACATGAAAGAAGAAGCCATCTCTTCGTGTTCTATTCTTTCCTGTCTAATTCTTCCCCTCGTACTGTGCGTGTGAACAACTCTAGACAAATCAGTTATTTGAGCCAACATAAAGACCCCATGATTTCCCCAGTTAAGCTCAAAACTTGAGATCCGGCTAAAGTTTTCAAGGGAAGTGGAAGCTTATTAGTAGATTGTAGTTTGGAGTCCGCCATTGTTGCCTATTAGTGTTTGGAGTCGGAAAGTTATATTAACTCAATTGTAGTTTTCTTCTCAAAGCGGTGTTCCCGTTTAGAAATCCCAATGAATTATAGATATACTTATGAGTTTCTGGGCCAGATCCACTTGAAAATTTTAACATGAAGATTTAAATATATGTATAATCAATTATTTTCAATGTTCAATTTCCTCTCATTTATGTAATTTCAAATACTACCATGTCACTAACATCAATTTCCTGCACGTTGAACTGATATTCGATGTCTTTTAATAAACCTGAATGATCTGTGCAAAGAAGGAGATAAATTAAGCAAAGTCCAACTTTTCACGGAGGACACCTTACTGTACTATATTTTTCTTCTACAATTATTGAACCCTTCCGATCTGCCATATTCCCTTACTTTCGTTTCAACTAGAAATCAATATTTGGTTTATTTCATATTTCAGTTTGTAACAAAACTATCTACAACGTTAAGGTTTAAACACATCACTGTAAAAAAAAAAAGCTTTTTGTTTAATGAAATTATTGAAACTATAATTTAAAATAAAATTTCATATCAGTTATCCTATTACGAAAATAAAGTTGTTATCCACAGTAACAATTCAACGAACTGTCATTAGCTTTTATTGACTTCATTTTAATTCTAGTTAAAAATGAAATGTCGTTAAATCAAGTTGACCACTAGAGAATTCCTATTTTGATGAGTCTAAAACTTCATATCTAACATTTGATGCCAGGGAAGAATTTTATTTCGTGAAAATTAGCAAGCAACTTGGCCAGAATAAGTTGCCAAATTGGTTCACTTAGATTAATAAAAACGAAAAGCTATCAAATATGAAATACTTGAGTTATCTGGAACCTTAAACTCATACATGTTCTAAGTTCTACATTACCGTAACTAGCATGACTACAATTGATCCATGATAAGAAGGATTCAAAATTTGAATTCAGATATTAGGCTGTAGTAAAATAAAATAAACTTTGCATAGATTGTCTCTACAATAAAATAAATCATGATAAAATTAAAAATGCAAAAGTTTGTTAGTCAACTCGGTGACATCATTTCAAAGTGTGCTCATAAAAGCCTAAAAGGCCACGCTAAAATAGTTCTTGAGTTGAAAGGGTCCAAACTAGTCTACTAAAGACTAGGACATAACAAATCTTGCGTTGCCTCTCCCTCTACTTCGTAGATCCGGGTTATGCTGTTAGTGTACCAATGTCCAGACGTTGGTGGGCAGCTAACAGTTGTGCGAGCCCAAGCTGTAGGCAGACGGGTTGACAAGCGACACGAGACAGTCGAATGCGTTCAGCGAGATTGAAGGTGTATCGAAGGTGTACAGGAAACTTAATTAGGAAATATACCAAAGTGTCAACAATGGACGACTGTAATTTATTTACGTAGACATGGGAGAATTGAAGGTTACTCAAGAAAATGGTAAGTTGCTGTTAGGAAAAGGAGAGCTGTTCTCGCAATAAATGGCTTGAAGAGATCAGTGAATTGGCTTTTTGGAGAAAAAAACTAAAACTAGATTGTGAGAGAGAGAGAGAGAGAGAGAGAAGGAGAAAGGAAAAGTTGCAGTTTCCACTAGATAATAGTGTGAAAGGGAGAGAGGGAAAGGATGCAGTCTGCAATGGGAGAATGGGGAGTGGGGGTGTAGGCAATACGTGAATGCTTTCGGAGCTGCCACGCATCAGGAAAAATAGGCTTATTGCTTCGAAGCTAGATCTTATCGAGGCAAATTGGAAGAGATCTTGAGCCGGATTGGGCTTTTAGATGTTGATTCGGAGACCTGGGATCGGAATTTCTTTCGGTTAATATTAATTTAAATTTGAGTTCAAATATTGACCAGAGAAATCCAAATCAATTTTATCGAGCTCTAATGGACGCCAGTCAGAGAGCACCTGAAAGTTAGCATTATAATTCTTGGGTAAACCAATCTGGAGAATGATTGCAGCGCTCAAGTCTGTTTCACGTTATCGTTGCCGATCAAATGCCAGCGAATAATTCTCGTTAGACACTCATTGAAACGTTTTCCTGCTTTCGATCTCGACGAGTCTTCGCCAAAATCGCCAAGCATTATTGGACAGGTGAAGCCGACCTACAGGAGGGAAGAAGAGGTGGAAGGGTTCCCTAGAAGGCAAATCGAGGAGGTATATTCCCCCCCCTGGGGTGTGTCCCACACCTGATGTGAAGCTTCCTCAGCGGCGGCCTCCCCACCTACATATGCCTGCGACGAGAGCGAGCAGTCACCATCTTTCGTTGCTCTCCGTCCTCTTCTTCATTAAGTCTGATTTCAGGTTTCACATACATTATTGTTCTCCGAGTCAGGGGTCTGTGGAAGCTATGGAGTGTTCTCGCGCCCGCCGCTAATGCTTTTGCTGTGCTTCAACTAGTTGCAGGGGGTGGGATGAAGATGAGCCTCGTGCTCCTGCTGGTGCTGATGGATGGCATCATGAAGGGAGGTGCCACATCTGTAAACATGGCAGGCGCTGGACGTAAGCATGAGAGAGTTTTCCTTCTTTGCTGGTATTAGTCTTCTAATAGCTGTGATTTCAACCTCGACGGACTTCTAGCTCTCTTAGTGCAAAAGGTGGTTCTGGTTATGTTGGGGACGGAAGTCCTCATCTTTAGACAGCGGAAGGCAAGGCAAACCCCCACCAGAGAGTTAGAGGGACAGAGAGGAAAGAGAAAATAACACATTAGGTTCTTCGTTCAGAAGCATAGAATTGTCTTACAGCTTAACACACAGCCCTCGGCATGGCAACCCGGGATGCTCACGCCCACACACCCAGAGGCGCTGGCTATCCCTCCCCCACTCTTACCACGAAGCTGCACCCGCGCACTCGCCAAAGAACCCATTCGAGCCCATTAGATCATTGTCCACAAACTCCAATTGCTTATTCTCATCTCCAGGTTGTGACTTTAGAACAAAGAGATTCAAATCCAAATAAAGATGACAGGACGACAGAAACGGATTAAGAATGAAATTACTTATCTTTTGTTTAGATACGCAACTTCTCAGGATTAGTTCGTGTTGTCGATGCGATTCCAAAGTGAAAGACACGATAAAACTTGAAGGTTGCCGCCCAATGGCTTCAGTGGTCCTAATGCTCAGATCCAGAATGTTTTTTTCCCTTTTTTGGCATCCTTGTTATTGGCCAACCATGATGAAGAAGAATTTGACTGTAGCCTGTTCACCCTGCAAGGAAACACGAAGTCCTCACAGAACGTCAGGCGAAAACGTAGATAATCGTTTGTTACTTGTATAGTTATCCTCGTCATGTTTCCGATCAAGTTGAACTGCAATGCAGTTATCGAAAACACTTGAAAATAATCTACTCCAAAAAACATAATCAGAATCAGAGAAGGGCAGAAGGAAGACTCTGCCACCGCAAGACTACAGGGAATATAGCGGAAGATACGCAAAAGAAAATCTCCAGTTCCCTCACGGATGCGTCCAAGGCCACCATCTCCGAAGCAGGTAGAACACTTATCCCGTGGATCTCTCTGGAATAGATCCAGAACAAAGACTTCTCATTAGGTTCTTAATAAAACATATCTGGCAATTGAAGCTCTTTGTAGAACAAGCCTTTGGTCCACAAAGAGCTTCTTTTTTCATGACATTGATGAGATGCCGGCAACTTTTATATATTATGTCAGCTTAAATTAACGGCGAGGATCTAAATTGAAACTGCATTCAAGGAAGTTTTTTGGAAACCTAAATGGGTTCTATTGATTCTCACATTGGAAGTCTACATTTTCTTTGACCTACATCTCAAAATTGCCTCCCAAGAATCGTTCCCTGGATAATTTTCTTTGCTCCGGATTTCCATTTTAGAGTTACTTTCTTAACCCTCTTTGTTTCTCTGATTATCTGCTATCCGAAGAAACGGAATCTAACTCCAGTCATCGGTTTCTTTGAAACATTTAGGAATCCAGTCCTTCAGTGATGACTCTCTCCCTCCTCGAAGAGATGTGCCACAAGACTTCTTTTGCCATTCCTGCAAGGAGGTCGCAAGAAGAGCTGAGAAATTCTTCAATAACGCTAGCCTGTACGACGAAGTGGATACATTCTCCGACCAAGTTTGTCATATCATGCACTTTGATCTTCGAATACAGGTATATATAAATATAGATAGATACATTTGTGTGCGTGTTTGCCCCAGTCTCCGTCGGAGAAGTATCGTCCTGGCCTGCTCGTATTTCGAACCTGAACTTGCTAACCCATAGTATGTTATTTAGTGCGGGAGACTATTGAAGCTGTATCTACGCGAGGGGGTGACGCTCCTCCAAATTGTTTTCCTCGAGGAAAATCTATGCAGCAGTACGGGATTCTGCCGTGTCCATGCGTCACCTACAGACCGTAAAAAGTTAGTTTCGTCTGTCGAGCCAGAATTTCTCTCTCTAGGAAAAATGCGGAAGGAACTTGAATCTATGTCCGTTAATGGGATTGAGGGCCCTCTACAGGAGGTAAAGATGAAAGAGATCTGTTTTCCTTGAGGCACTTTTAATTTGTCATATTGATCACAATTCTCGAATTATGCCAAAGGTTTTCTCTACCTGGTTCGCCTCTAAAATTTTTATTTCAATGACAATGTAGATGAGAGGACCCGAAAGCCGTGCTGCTGCAGAAAAATATGAGTGGGTTCAGAAGATGACGAGAAACAGGTGTAAATTGACTGATGCTTCGATGCTTCCATCGCTAGACAGTACCCTTCGAAACCGTTAATTCTCTCATGTTTCCACTTTCATGCAGATAAATATTGTTTCAGAAAACCTCAAGGCCTGCAAAGCACTTGATAAGGAGGATGATACGGTAAGATCGCCTCTCTGAAAAATCCATCCTGAGCCGATATTTGATCATTTCCTAATATGATTCGATTGCGATCATCGTTTTATATGCAGTGAAAATGATTGGTCTACCATACTGCCTGCCTGTTTCTGCTAGTCGTCGGCAACTCCTGATCAATGAGGATTTTCGTCAATTTTTTCAAACATGCCAATAGCATGTCTTCTACCACGTACAATACCATGCATTTTTTCAATTTATGAATAATATGATCCTTAGATTAACCCAATGAAATGTATAGCTCTCCAAATCCATTGTTTGTCAATCCTTATGTGCCCTATAAAATCCTGCTGTGCAGACTTGGTCGCTTTTCCAAATTAATAATACTTGTCACTGTACAACTTCAATGAAAGGCCAATCCTCATATTAATGTCATCTACTTTCCTTTATAGCCCCCTCTCTAAGCATTTATGTTTATAGGGAAAACCCATTTGCAACTCACCAACCTCTTCCCTCTCCATGTATCCAATGCTGCATGCACATAATTATGTTACTTAGGTGTTACATGGTCCTCATTCACAACCTTTCTCTATTTTAAAATTCGATAAATTCTGAAAAATAAGTGGTTAGTGGAAGATGACAATGGAAATAAAGGAAAAAAATGACTAATGAATGCATAAGATATAAAAAATGTTCTAAAATTGGACAATTAGTATACTATTAAAAAACAAATCTTAAAAAAATTATCAGCATGGGTGCCAAATATGAAGATTTGAGTCCAATAAGCAGCATCACCATACCAATGACAATGTCCACTTGGCCAACTCTGGTCTTCTTCACAGAGCCTTAAGTAAGCAACTTGGCTTTTTCAGCCTTTTGTGTAAACAATTTTTAATAGGTCAATCCATTGCTAACACTATTTGGACTTTAGAAGACAATGCTATAAAGATGATCTCCCTTTGTTTCTAGAAGGAAGAAAAGACATTTCTTCTTTATTTCCATTCTCATCTTCCACTAATAAGGCTAGATATACTCTGACCAACCTAAAGAAAAAACTTGTGAAAGTTCATACACAGCATTGAAGATAATATACTACTTTGACCAATCATATCTTTTTCTAAAATTTCCATAATAAAAATATTTATCCTTTTTTTCCAAAATTACATTTAATAATAAATCCCATAAAGAAATGCTTTCAACTAGAGGACCCCAAAAAAACCCATGTATAAATAATAAATACCTGAAGCACTTTGTTCAATGCTAAGTCTCTAATAAGGATATGATATACTTTGACTAACCTAAATAAAAAACTTGTGAAAACCCATCCACAACATTATACGTGGGGAAGTTCCACAAAAGCATAACTGTAAATATTGATGGAAAAAATCAAGGTTATAATGATAACTAAATTAACCTCTGAAACAACGAAGATGAATCTCTCAAAGTAGTGGTTTCAAATCCTCTTTTTCCAGCTATAAGATACATTGGTTTCCTTACCCCTATAACGTTCATCACAGGTTATCCAAAATATTCACATAGTAGAAAAAATAATTCACTTAAATATTCTTCTTGATCATTTAATTGCTCATATTTAATTCTTTCTAGACAATGATTATTGAAGAATTCCAATCAATAATTCATCTTTTTATTCTATTACAGATAGAGAGAGAGAGAGAGAGAGAGAGAAAGTGAGAAGATTTCATGTCAAAGCATTGATTTGGAGATTTAGCTTGCTAACTATCAATAACTACTGATTCACATACAATGTTATCTGAAGGGGTTCCTAGAGGTTTAGAGACAATACAACTCATAGCTATACCTTTACACCTGTGTTAGCTCCAATTCTTGGAAGAATAATTAAATTTCCTCTTGACATTTTATAAATGCTTAAACATGAGAAAAGTTCTACGTCCACGCAAATCGAAATAATTCCCTACATGACGACCCTCTCTTTCATATTCAAAACATAGTGAAGTCAACATGTTTTTATTGATCTCCCTTTATTATTATAGATACAACACAATAATATGGACTTCTTTCCTCCAACAAAGGAGAGAAATCCTATTTGTCATCCATCATTTCCGTATCCCATTCAATTCAGGGACATGCCAATATATGAAAGATGTGAAGGTTAAAAGCAAGTTCCCTCACGTCCCTGAACATCGTCCTAGTGCACTAGAAGCATATCTTGATTGATGAAAGGAAAGACCCCTTCAAACAATGTTGAGAAGATACTTGATTCTCTTATTCACATCCAGGAGGGGAAGAAAACTGTAGCTTGTCTTACCCACAGTTTATCAGTTAGGTCTGCGAATTTAGAAGTTTGGCATGACTATTTAGTCAAAGTGATGGTCAATTATATCATCCATTCAATTCTCTTTTCAATGATGAGTAACATGGTAAAGCTTTCCATGACGGTCAGTTTTGCATCTTTCAAATATGGATTGAAGAGAATTTTTAACAATCGAATATTTGATGATGTTGATCACTATATATAAAAATTTCGGTTTTTCACATTTGTAAAAGCATTTTTTCCATTAAAATAATATGATAATACTTTCCATGGCAGCCAAATTTAAATGATTTAACATTATGATGGACAAATATCTAATACTGTTGATTATTACACTATATTTTATCCATGTTCTATTTTTAGAAATTATTTAGAGCCAATCCTCCATCCCATTCAAGGTCCAATGCATTCTAGTGATCTCATTCTGCCTCCCACACTCAAAGACCCAAAACAATGCCAAGACTAACCCCTCACAAGCTCCAAACCAAATAGTAAGAAACAACAAAGAGAAGCACATAATCGTGAGGCCAAGTAGTCTAAGTACGAAGCATTATTAGAAAACAGTCCTGCTGATTAGTAATCTCGGTGGAATACATCTTAATCACCAATTCGCTTCCACATCGCTGAAATATGAGATCAGAACCACCCTATTAAGTATCATAAATAATGGAAGAAACCTTCCTTCTACCTTCCAGTTGGTCTTAATTGCCCACCATCCTACTATACCACCCCCACCCCTTGAGAGCCCTCCCTTCGCCGGGGGGGGAGGGGAGGCGCTCACGGCAACTCCAGATGGGTACCTAAGCAGCCAGCTTGGGCCATTGACCACTTTGCTAATACCAGCTTTGGAGCCGGGTTGATAAGAGCTCAGAAGACAGACGACGGCACACCGGGCCAAGGCAAATGTTACTCGACAACTAACATCACGAGAGAGGCAAAGGAACAGCGTCGTGCTAGTTGCCAGAGTCACCAGGCACTAGACGTGTAAAGGAAAGTTGGGTCCGAATTCACCCAGGAAAATAAAGTCGTACCAGAGGCAATGAGCAGAGAAGAGCGGCCTTGGATAAAGAGAACTGCTGCCATCAGTCGTAGCTTCCGACCCAGAAACTGAAGCAGAGCTCAACCGTTCAGCAACTGAATTGCTGGGTCCTCCTTCCTCATCCCGGCAGTCCCTCCTCGACAAACCTTTGGTGATCTCGCTCGGCCCCCGGCGGTTGTTAGATAAGCGGAATACGCCCGAAATAACGCTTTGCAAGCTCCATTGCATGTCCAGACGCAGAGAAGGGGCAGAGGACGCCGCTACCTCAGGTTACTGGGGGGCTCCCTCTCGAGAGCTCCTGGAGCAAATATTGGGAACGAGTCTAACGCCGCCCTCCGATCACCGCCTCCTCCCCTGATCTCCCTCGGGGCGCCACCGCCCTCCCTCTGACCCTCCGGCGGGAGAGGTGGAGCTGCTGCTGCATTCGTCCCTTGGCTGTCCCTTGTAGGAACACCCAGGAGGGGGCCGCCAAAGAATATCGACTGCCCAGTGTACAAGAGCCTCTCCTGCTGATGTGGTGCTGGGGCCCTTGTCGCCGGTGGAGCGACTGGTCTGCTATAGCTGCTCGTCTCCGGGGCCGGAATCGCAGAAGATGGGCGGGTGGCGCGGACAGCAGCATCCCATCCAGCTTCTCCTCTCAAGGGTGGCGCCGCCACTGAGACATACCGGCCGGCCTCTTGGTCCCAAACGACTGACGACTTTCTGACAATCGACGTACCCGACTGAAACACTGGATTGGTCAAGTGGGTTCCATTCGGTGGCATCCGATGAGGGATCGGTGGCCGGTCAGGGAGGGTGGTAGTCTGGGGCGGCGGGCTGAGGGCGATGGACTCCTGGACGTGGCCGGGGCTGCTGAAGCTGCTCATGCTGTGCGTGCCAGTTTCGTAGTCATCTCTGCTGGCATGACTCGGGGCATAGGAATTCCTCAGAGGAGACAGCCTTAGCTCACTTTTGACCTCCCTGTTAATCCCAAAGTCCGTGCTCAAGCTACTCCTGCAGCTGGCATTCCCACTGGAGCTGTGATCTGCATCGGGCACTCGCCCATGGTCGATGGGCCTCAGAACAGAAGAGGAGGCCCTGGCCTTTGCAGCCGCCCTTATGGCCTCACTTGAATCCAACTTGGCAAGCTTCCAGGCGCTAATCTTGATGGGTTTCCTGGGCGCCCTGTTCCCTCTTTCTACAAATCCGGCAGCATCAGGATCCACAGTCGAGGGCACCATTCCAGGTTCCAAGTGCGGTATGACTTCATCCTACAACACCAATATTCCAAACGTCAGAAACCAGCCTCGTAACAAACGCCTCAGTTTACTCAGATACTTTCACAGATGTTGAGTAACCAGACCATCCTATTCTATCATAGAACACATCAAATAAAAAAAAAGAAAGAATGAAATATCAAGAACCCTGCAGACGGCAAATTGTTCAGCGAATTCAGGAGATTGAGATGCACTGGGAGAGTGATTCCATGGAACACAGAGACTAAAGAAGAGGGAAAGATACGAAACCATACCTGGTGATCTATGAATACTCGAGGAGGGGTACACCATGCGCCCTTATACTGCAGACCTCGGGAACTCGCTCCACTAAAGCCAGTTGTGGCGGAGCCTGTAGGAGAATAAAGGATATTCTGTGCGTTCTGTCCATCCTCGTCAACAGAAGCTGGAGGGGCCTCACTCATGGCCCTCATTGCTACGACGAATTCATAGGTTGTGATGCCCTGTCGGAGGAGAGAAGGTTTATGTTGTAAAACAGGAAGGAATGGGAACAAAAAACATAGCCACTAAATTCATGTTACGAACCTTCCTGATCAAAATTATGTGGAAGAAAAAAAGTTCTCCTAAAGGGACGCACGCCAACAATGATACCGCAGTGCATATCGCCTGCAAAGTGGAGTAGAACGTGGGCATCAAACTCTTCACTAGAAGTTAGAAGAATCGCTAGCAGAAAAGGATCATATGATTAATTAAAAAGGCAAAATGGACAAATTTTCTCTCAAGGGCATGGTTCATTTTATGTTTAAGTTCGATCATGGAACTTGAATTCGAGATTCAAAGAAGAATACTGTAGACATAGCTGTCATATCACGTCCAGAGTCGGATTCAAATACCTCTCCACCGAGTACAGCATTTTTGCCTTACAGATGGACAACACATTTCAAGCCCTCGAAATCTGATTGATACCCCTGTACGACTAGCCTCGGGGCACTTTGGTGATATGGTAAAACTGAGAGTACCTGGAGATAGGATGCTAGCCTCGTAGCCACATCCAAGAGATCTGAGATTCTCCAGATAGTTGGTACTCAGATGTTGAAAAGTGAAAACATATTTGTTCATTCGAACCCTATCGAAAAAGTCTGACTACCCATTCATCTATTGCCCAAAAACTTTGGTTGCAGAAATCCCGTTTTCCTTCAAGTATCCAACAAATAGCAACCACTATGGTTTTGAATGGTTGACAGAACATAGAAGTATGCCAACAAAACATCATCGTTTTTTTATTAGCAGTGATGGACCTAGAAGCAACACATACCATATTTTTATGGGATGTTGGTGGCGACATGGAGATGATGGAATGAGATTAATTAGAGAAGAATTCCTATGCATAACGAGCATGGAAGGCAGCATCGTCAGTAGCAGTTTTGAATGTCATTTGCCGGATTAAAGGTTTCTCAATAGAAGTGTAACTAAGAAAAAATATATCTAGAGAGTGAGTGACAAGACATTCTAATATGAGAGCAAAACTTGTTTTTAAGAAAGAGAAGGCTTGTTTCTAAGCAGAACCTTTCATGGGAAGCAAAGTTTATCCTTTGAAAGGAACTGGCTTGATATTTTCTCCAGTGAAGTTAAGACATCTTGCGATGTACATGGCTGTGAAGGCATTAGATCACTTTTTCTTGAATGTTCATTGCCATTCAGAATTTGACAAAAACTTTAACAAGGCATTCAGAGGCAGATGCCTAGGATGGTGGAGGAAGGATTGTGCGAATGTCGAACTAGTACATGTTGTCCTACACACTGACCAATCGTAGATGCCAGAACTTTGGACTGAGCAATCGTATCTTTAGACTCTAGAACTTCTTGCTATAGACGGAATGCACTTTTAGATGCCTTGGAGCGAGGGACAGACCAAGTTTACTCTGTCAGCATGAGTGTTCTGGACCTAATCTCTACACTCCTGGAGCAGACTACAAATATTGGATAAATCTCATTGCCCGTCTACTATAATATCCCTCTCATTGACTGCATATAGATCCTGCATATACCCAGAGTTGCGAAAATTCATGCAAAATATCTAAACCATAATCATGACGATAATGTCATTTACACAATAAAATATCTGATATCCCACTACGACTTCAAAAAGTAGGCAGGCAACAATGACACCTCAACAAAAGGACACTGTCAAAAACATGACTTTAGTATGAATCGCAATGACAAATCACAGATCAAGTTGTACGAGGGAGAGATTCAGCAGTGAATTATTTTTCTCTGAAAATGACTATATTTAATAGGAAAATCGCTAACTGAAATCAAACAGAAATCCACACAAATAAATGAAGAATCTTCAACGCATGATGCATTATTTCATTTAAAACGTTGAAAAGATATATTTGGTATCTTCTGACGAGGAAGGTGTCGTAAACTGTTTATTATTACGACGAGATAAAGCAAAATGAAGTCCATTTCAGCATACATAATCGTTGTACAACAAAACCTTCTGAGCAAACGAAATTTTTCCTTCAAAAGGCTTACCACTACTGCTGCAAATGGGGCCCGAGAGAAGCCATTCCCAAGCTTTTCCACAATGCTGCTCTCGGTTCCTTTCTTATCGACAAAACAGAGCACGAGAACAGCAATTCCAACACCACTTTCAATTGCAAGCTGAACTAGCAGAAAACACAGTAAATTGGTCAGGTCTCCATAGATTGAATGCCAATGTGAAGCTAAAGGTAATATGTGATGTAGGAAAAGCATACCCAGATCAGACTTGTAGCCATAAGAGCAATAAAAGTTACATAGTTTTTCTTCCCCACACAATTATTAAGCCACTGGTCATCAGAAGCACAGATAACATTATGATGATGACAGAAATCAAATAAACAAACAGAAAAAAAAATAAGTCACTGTCTAAAGAGCGCAAATTGCAGTTTCATACCCGACAGTGGTGGTCAAATCCATCCACACATTTATCACAACTTCTGCAGTGTTTACTATACTTACGCACCTGCAAGGTTAAAAGTTTGACCAAATAAGAGCAAAATAGAATATAGCATGAAATATTCTATCGTTTGATCAAAGTAAACATCCTGTTTCTAATACAGCAAACGTGATTATCGCTAAGGGTTACAGGCACAGTACACATTTACTTATCAATTCATGTACATAACGAATACAATTACTTATCTACATGGATATGATAAATATATCCATCGACAATTATAAGCATGAATGTGTAAATAAAAAGGAGAGATACAGAAGGCTATGCTGCACACAGTTACAAATGCCTGAGGATAGGTAATAATAGACATCAACTAAGATAATGAGTATTGCCCTCCAGTGAACTTTAAAAATGAATGCCCATGAAATAGACTAAACAAATTAGTCAACAGAGGATCCTACCATACATCAGGAAAAGAGAAAACATTACCACAAGCAAAGCCTAAATTATCAATTGCATTTGATAGATTTGACGACCCCAGGCACAGTACAAAACCAGGAAAACACATAAAGAAGACTAATTCGAACTCACAAGATAAAGCACAAATTCAAATAAATCACTTTATCGTAACAGTTAATTCAGACATGAGCACAAACCTAAGGCCATCATTTCCTCGTGTGCAATATTCAACATTCACGAATGTATCAACAAATAGGCAAGCAATCCCAACTATTGGGGGGGGAAGCCTAATAATCAATGTGTTTCCTTTGCCTTCTTCACCTTCACCAGACGTCTTATGGTCAAAATAGTTCCGAATGTTATGGTGTCCAGAAAAATAATTCTACAAAATATCTTGAATGAACTTCGTGGAAGCAGTGAAACATTCATCCATCACATGATTCTAAGAACTATGACCAGCCGTTCTTCCAATACAGAAATTACAAGAAGATTACCTTTGAAAAGAAAACAGATAGACAGAGCTTCTGTATAACATTCTATCTCATGTAAAAACTCAGTGGGAAAATTTTTAAGGTAATAGTCTTACCAACCTTCTAAAACTCCCGAAAGGGTTCACAGGTCAGAAGGTTTAGAGAAAATCTTCTTTAGAGACTTGAAGTGTGCAAAGTAAAAAAAACAAAGGATCACAAAATTTCACAAAATCACTGAAGACAAATAACAAAGACACCCAGAGGTATCTCCAGCAAAGCGCATCTATAATTCAGTTATGAAACCACTGAAAGTGTAAAACAAACGAAATAGTCGAAGAAAACAATTTTGCAGATATAGCTTTTCAAGAGAACGATCTTCAACCCATGGCTAGCACTAAATCCAGGAACTAAGCTTGCCTGATAAGTTTCTTCTCTTCACCAAAATCTATGGCAAGCCCTGCACTAATGCGTGGCATCTAGATTGCGCATTGTGTGAAATGACGGAAATTAACCCATTAGTACTCAAAAACTATTACTTGCTGACATAACAGATCAAGTTTATCTAGAAACATTAAATCACAAAACTGTACCTCAGCATTGCACAATGTACAGAAAAGCGCATCCTCCCCAGCAGTTTGTTGATCATTGCCTTCTTGCTGTTTGCGGCAATCATCTTTCACAAATAACAGATAGAAGAATGCTCCAACATAGCAGCAACAATGTGACCGTTTCCTTGGAGGCCCTGAAGGAACCTCAATTCTGGCAACTCCAGCGGCATCTTTTGTACTGGAGTGCCCCCCTATAGAACTTCTGCAAGTCGATAATGGAGAAGAACGAGTTCCAGTCTCTATGGTACCGAAATTGGCAGGTAAGTTTATATTATGTGTCTTTGGCACATTGACTACATCAAACTTTTCCATTATCCCAGGATCTGCAGGATTGATTCTTGTGCAACGAACATACAGAATGAAAACAGTGACCGCCTGAAATCAAAGTTCCAGATCTTTATCAGGACAAAGGGTTTAAAAAAAATTGACATTAAAACAACAAATAGAGTCATTCTCATACCACAGGCGTGTAGACTGCAATAGAGACATATTGAAAGATACGCTTCCCAAGGAAAGGTGCAAAAAAGGCATAGAATGCAACAACCAACAAAAAAAACACAGTGATGGCAACAACCTGCAAACGAAAAGGAAAATTAATACCCAGTATTAAAAAAAAAAATCCACATAAAAAAGCTTGAAGACATGATAAGAGATTATCCAGAAAAGAGAGAGAGAAAATTTGAAAATCATCATTAAAAAAACTCATGGGAAAAGAATGGTACAATGTCTGCCTTGCACATTAGTATTTGCTTCAGGACATTGAAGCATATTCTTATGCTGATAGGCAACTATCTAAGAAGACAGATAAATATGAGAACCCAGTAATCTAAGAAGATAAAATGATCAACCCAATAAGACAATGAGAATCCCATCCATGTCAAATATGAGACAATAAACTTAATAACATGCATTCATATGGACAAAAATTTCAACAAGTCATAGACGTTTATGCAACACTATGAGAATACTAACTAAATAAGTTGGCCTAGTACTGCAGGACTGAAGTCATATAATTAACTTGGCAATGTTCCACATTAAATTCAAGCTCTTCAAAATGCTGATTTCCATTAACAAGACACCTCAACACTATGCAACACTATGAGAATACTAACTAAAGAAGTTGGCCTAGTACTGCAGGACTGAAGTCATATAATTAACTTGGCAATGTTCCACATTAAATTCAAGCTCTTCAAAATGCTGATTTCCATTAACAAGACACCTCAACACTATGCAACACTATGAGAATACTAACTAAAGAAGTTGGCCTAGTACTGCAGGACTGAAGTCATATAATTAACTTGGCAATGTTCCACATTAAATTCAAGCTCTTCAAAATGCTGATTTCCATTAACAAGACACCTCCACAACAAGACGTTCGTGATAAGCAACATAATAACATGAGTTTGTGCCCTGGTCTTACCTATCTATTAGTCTTAGCGGCATTATTATGCCAACTTGAATTTGAAGTGTCTTTCATTATCAAGCCTTGTATCCACGAAAATAAAAAGTGTGTACTATTCTTCTCTGTCCAAAAGCACAATCTTTTTCTCTTGAAAAAGAAAGAATCCATGCAATAGAAAAAGAGCAAGAATTGCTTCACAAACATTGTTGAAAGAGTGGAGATGGTACATGTCCAAAGTTTAAAGCCTCATGCAAACCATGCAGACCGACAGCAGCACACATCAAGTCACCCTACTTGAAATTACCAAAGGGTATACGACAACAGCATAGATTTGAATGACTTAAAATATAAATTTCGTAACAAAAACAACCATTAACAAACAGCTACAAGTTCTAGTTCTAATGTTTGGGCATCACCAAGGGATTCAAGCCCACATTATTAACCCAAACATGAAAACTAATTAGAGAAAGCAATTAATACCAGGACCCCTTATCTGACACGCTTCCTCTTCATAAAATACCTTCACAGACACCATCAACATCGTCTCATATACATATAATTATGATATTCATATGAATTCATTAGGCACTGGTGTTTGGGCGTAGATATCACAGAGACTCAGATATATAATACAACCAGACGTAAAACTTTCTGATAAGAGGAAACCAACCCTTACATTACCTTTTCACGCATAAGATGCCTACTGGTTGAATAGGAAATTCGTGTTCTTAATGATAAACTCCGAAGTGTGATCGCTTAAAAGATGGTAAAACGAGCTCCCATTTTCAATAGTCAACTCCAAAACTTTGATGCTCAAAAGAAGGCAAAACGAGACTAGGAACTAAAACATTGATCAGAGGGTAACAACACGAAACAAAATACTCTAGAACAAACATGCACTGGTTGACCAATCAACACAGATTACCTATGGTAACCCGCCGAAGACAACTACAAAGTGGAAAATCATATTCCCTTCAGCAAAGAAGATCTAGATCGCATACAAAGACTGTTTACTGAAGATCTAGATCATATTCTTTTCAACATAACCATTTATCGAAGATCTAAAAATGGATGGCAAAAACGAGCATTGAAAACACACACAGACAATGCACAAAGTAGCGAGAACAAGGAAACCAACCACATTAGACTCCAATACGAAAGATACGTTAGGGATTTTACGGATCGTCGGAACTCATAAAGGATGTCGCACATACAAAGAAGAAACGCGGTGGGAGAAAGTGCAGCGGGCCTCTCAGATCAAGGAGCGAGTACCTGGAAGGTATGAGCAGGCAGCTGCCAACCGTGGCGCCTCCCCATCGGCACCCCCCGCAGGACGACTCCTCAGCTACTTTGGAGATCAGACCACCAGTAAACCCACACCCAAGAGGACCAGGAATGGGGATGGGAAAGTCCGGGAAATGGAACCAGTCGCCCCCTCATCAGAGAGGGGCCACAACCTCAGTCGATGCAGGGGCTACCGTCTCCCGGCTGGAGGCAGCGGCGTCGAGCGGCCGCCGTCTGACACTGCAAGAGTTGACATTTCGAGCTCCCCTGGACGGCTGCGCTGCGAACAGGAAAGGGGTGGAGTTGTTGTTCCTTGGAAACGGTTGGTCTTTTGTTTTGCTTGGAAGAGGGGCGTCGGCTCCAGCCCTCGAGTAACTCTCTCTCTCTCTTTCTCTCTCTTCTCTCTCTCCCATCGCTGCGGCTTATTTTGAAAGTACTCACGTCACGTGCACCCACCACATTTATCTCCGGAATTGTATAGAAAATAGAAAATAAGCTTTATTTCCAAGGCAGAAATAATTTGGGAAACGCGCAGGTTTGGGTCGCCTCGTCCGACCGTCCTGGCTGAGATACTTTAAAGTAACAATTTATTATGTAGGGGCGTCTGGGGAAGTACACCTAATAACGGGGGTCCCCATGTATTTAATTTACTCGAGAGAGTGAGCTGGCGATGGGGTAGGTGGCAGCCGCTGCCGCCCTCATCACTGCAGTCCGTTCGAATAACTGAGCCGGGGGAGGGGTGGGGGGAAGGTGGAGCTCTCCCCGGGGCCCCGTTTGGCATGCAGGAAAGACCTGGAAATCACGGGATGCGGAGCACACGGGGTTTAGAGCATGTGACTCCCACGTAATGCCCATTTTGACTGGCACGCCTCCCTGGTGGGATTCCACAGCCAAAAGGCTACGTGATAGGAGACGCGTCCTCTAGTCGTCATAGGTAGGATAGCCTCACCGCTCATGATCTGCACGTATTTTCAATAATTATCGTATTATCCAGGTCAAATGCACCGGAGAGAAAATAATTTGCTTGTTGACCTGCGAAGAGCAAAACAACGAGAGAGAAGGGAGGGATGGGTTTAAATGGTCAACACATGAATTTCATGCATGGCGCAAGAAATGCTAAAGTCAAATGTGACAGAAATAGTGAGATGTGTACGATTGGGAGGGAAAATAACACTCAGAAACTATTTTTCGTTAAAGCATTTACATCACAATGACTCGTTTTTGTGCCAAGAAATTAAGTTTTGGTCATGACATGAGAAATCAACAATCGACTTCAGTTGTCTGCAAAGACCTCTTTGTAGGTTAACTTTAATTTTTTTCTCCTTTTTGAGACACATTTCAGCATGTCATTGACAAATGGGTTGACTTATGATGTATCACATCACACTTTGAAGAAGGAAGAAGGTGAGAACTTTTTAACCCAAATGGCCTAAAAATGTAAAAACATGGACTACAAATATTTCAAGACCCAAAATTAGATTAGGCCTAAATAAAACATGTGAATAATTTGCTAGAGTATTAGGTTTAGAATTGTCATTTTCTAAAGTCTATTTGAATGTTTCCTCAATTGATCAATTGTGAGGTGCACCCCAACTAGTTCTTTTCCTATTCAAATATCACCACTACGTAATCCTATTTAATAAGAGTTTTCCTCCCTTTGAGGCAACTCTTCACTTGTGGATATAAGCTCTCCCCTTAGCAATTTTAATGTCACCCCAATCAATCTAATGTGAACGCACATAATGAAGTATCTAAAAAATCTTAGAACATCAAAGTCATTTGTAAAACTTGAACTTGGAATCTAAACGATGACATATCAAAAGCTTCAGTAAAGAAATATCTAAGAAATCATGAAATATCAAAGTTACCTACAATTTTTGAACTTACATTCTAAACAATGGCACAACAATAGATTATGTGGAGACAATGAAAAATTAAATGAGCTTAACTACACTCAACCTCAACAATAAAAATGTTTATTGATGAGAAACGAAACTCTAGTTCAATTTTCAAATAAAAAAAATGAGAAAATAGAAAGCTTCAAAGTAAGAAGCAAAAAAGGTTGTTGGCATGCCTTATGAACAATGAGATGATTTTAAATGAAGCATGAACATTTTTCAAAATAATAAATGATTGGAAAATATTAAAGATAAAAAGGAAAAAACTTATGAAGAGAAGATAGAGCTCCTATGGATATCCATCTTTCTCTATCAACGTTCAACCATTGCAAACTTCAATAGAGTACAAAACCTAGTACCAAATCTTCATTCGACATTGATGCTTCAAATAATATTTGTCAAAGTCTGATACTCTCCATCAGGCAATATCCTCAAGGTACTTAGGTGGTGAAAGGATAGGTGATTGGACTAAAGCATGAAGTACTAATAACTTGTCTTAGTGCCCTTGAAGGGCAAGGTCTCTAAGGAGACGGAAGATATGTGATTGAGTTGCTGATCTCATAAAAATCTGTGTATTTCTGTGTATTTCTGTGTATTTCTCTAAGGACTAAATCTGTGTATTTCTATAGAAATTAATAAACTTTGGTAGGAAGGATCTTTTGTGATGAGAAGTAATCAAGTGAGTGACAAATTAGTATAACAAGTTTTAATGACTTTGGTGGTGAAAAGAGAACTATGAGATAACTCATATCAAAATAGAGAGAGCCTTGAGAGAATCTACATTGAGAAAGAGAGAAATGTGGGAGAACCTATGTCAACAAATCTACTAATAGGCATAAAATGATAACCGACAAAAATATGAAGAAACTTAATTCAGTCCCCTCTCTTGATGTTTCACCTAGCCTTTGTTGAACTAACACTTATGAGGTTATCATTACTTATTTGATAATTACAAAGTGTGATTAACATAATTATGAAAATTCTTATGGGTTTAAACTTTGGATAGACATGTTAGAACAATAATTAAAAGAATAAAACTATGAAGAACATGATACAAATTTCTAAAAAATCAGTTTTAAGCATAAATTCATGATTTCTACCCATAAAATAATTCTAATGCATTTCAATTTAAGTTTATGATAGTTTTCACTTTTTCATGCAACAATTATATAGTTTTTTATGAATTCAATCATAAAAAAACTCTTTTGTATGAATTAGATTCATCAAAAGAAGATCCAAAAGAAAAGAAATAATCTATGGAGACTTCTAGAAAATTTCCAGCTAAATTCAAAGATATAGATGGCATGCATTGCTGAAAGGTAGTAGGGACATTACATAAACAAAAGACATTCATATAAATGTAATACTAGTTTTCTCTTGATCTTCAAAAATAGATAACAATTTTTGTAGCTTGAATATCCATCTAAGTAAAATTATTTTGACCAGATAATCTTTTAAAAATCTGATCTATAATTCATTCATACTCTCTATTTTTTTATTAATCCAATTTTTATTTGTTCTCTACTTTCTTTTTGATCTATTGTTAAACCAAAATTTCTTGGAATAATTTGAGTGGGACTTATTTATGGGCTGTCAAAATAGGGTAGATAATTCTTGCATCTAATCACTTAACCATTTTTTTCTTTACAACCCTCTTATTTGGATTCAACATTTTTTGCATTTCTCTACTAGATTTAATGTTTTCATCTATGTATATATGATGCATGCATAAATTTAGACTATTCCATTTTGAATCTCCTATGCCTAAATCTATTGCAAATCTAAATTCGAATAGTACCTCTGACAATTAGTTTTCTTATTTAGAGAAAAGAAGAGCAGAAATAATTACACGAAAGGCTTAATTTTCACCTAAAAATATATATATATAATTTATTAGTAGTGGTTCTAATTCTACTATTGGTGGTCTTTTGGTGGATCTCCTACTGATTTTTCTACATTTTGATAACAAAAATTTATAGTGAGCCCTTAATATTCTTGATGTTCTTCTATTTCTATTAAGCTAATCATTTCATCAATAATATCCATTGTATCACCTTTCATCATCATCTCATAGATATAGGGAAGCTCTAAAGACATTTAATTTAACCTTTTTTTTTCTAATGAAAGAAATTTCAACTATTCTATTTGTACAATTGATGTTTACTTTAGCTGTAGCAAGGAAAGGTCTACCCAAAATAATGGGCATTTGATTTAAATTTGGGGTCACTTCCATGTCAAGTATCAAAAAATGAACAGGAAATAGTAGTGTCCAATGTTAATAATGACTTCTTCTAATAAACCTCTAGGTGTTATAGATCAATCAATTAATTGAAACACAACAAATTTGTTTAAGTTCACCTATTTCAAATTAATCAAAGATAGTTTTTGACAATATATTAACACTTACACCCAAATGGAACAAAGCTCTATAAAAGGTGAATCCTCTTATATTGCATGATATTAAATAGGCACTGAGATCTTTTAATTTCCTAGGTAATTGATTTTGCAGAACAACACTTATGTCTACTAATAACTTAACCTACTTTGTTTCCCTTTTTCATAGTTCCTTTCAGATCTTGACATAAGATGGAATATGTTTAATGACATCAATTAAAGGAATACTAATGTGCCATGATTTAAAAACCTGCATCAATTCTTAATTATTTTCTACCTTCTTGTTTAACTTAGGCTCTAATAACATGCCATTTTATGTTATTAAAAATATTAGTTTTACATGTGATGAGTAAGATTCGATTTGGTTGTCATTAAAGCAAAGATTCTCCACAATAAAAAAATATATATTTATATGAGTTGTATCTGATTTGAACACTAACTAAGTAGACACAATGAATTAGGTCGTCTCCATAGAAAATGAGGTGAAACAATCTAGCTTTTATTGAGTTTTACTGAAGGAGAGGAGAAGATAAGATGTATATGATGAAAATAGATGAGAGTAGTGGGGAAAGAGAGGAAATACACATCTAATTTCGTAGATTTGGATGAGATGACCAAGACAAGATCAGAATATCTAATCTATGGAGAATCTAAGTGGATCAATGGAGAATTATCTAATCTAAGTGGATCAATTCGTAACTTCTAATGAGAATCTACTCTAAGTTTTACCAGAATTTGACT